AGATTCCAACTTGATTCCCACTCCGGATCCTTGCTTTGTTGAAGACCCATCTACGTGTAACTTCCAGGTTTGGTTCTCCGAATGCTCTATCGTTCCAGGTATTGGTAGCTCAGTTAAGAAATCTGCTAGGACCTGAGCTTTCATACTGATCCGGCTTTTGAATTCTATATCGTACTCGCTTAACTCCACCGCCCATTTCGCCAAACGTCCGGACTGACTTGGACTATGAAGTATTGTTCGGAGTGGTTGGTTAGTTAATACTTCAACCGGATGGGATTGAAAATATGGACGCAGCTTCCGAGCCGAAGTTACCACCGCGAGTGCAAGTTTTTCCATCATTGTGTATCTGGTTTCCGGATCCGTCATTGACTTGCTTACATAGTAAATTGGTTTCTGCTCCCCACGGTCATCCCGAACCAAGACTCCACTAACCGCGTGGTTTGAAACCGATACATACAAATAAAGTTTTTCATCCACTTCCGGTTTAGACAGTATAGGCGGAGTGGTTAAGTATGCCTTAAGCTGCCCAAAAGCTTCTTCACACTTCTCATCCCAAAGGAATCCTTTGTTCCCTTTTAGAATTTGGTAGAAAGGTAACGACTTGTCTGTTGATCTCGAGATAAAACGATTCAAAGCCGCAATCCGCCCCGTCAACCGTTGTACTTCTTTGAAGTTTCTTGGAGACGGCATGTTTAGAAAGGCGGTACTTACCACTTCGTCATTTACCAGTTTGGCTCGCTCCACTCCGAGCTTTCTTCTTTTCTGTTTCACCGGCTTGAAGCTTGGATCCACGTTTAGCTCGTGACAAATTATATTTGGATCTATACCAGGCATGTCTGCTGCTGACCATGCAAACGATGTTTTGTTTCTCTTTAAAAGTTCGATCAAAGCTTCTTTTATCTGGCCAGTCAGAGTTGCTCCAATTTGAATTTTCCGGTCCGGCTTGTCTTCTTCCAACACCACTTCGATTACTACATCATCTTTCTTCTGCCCGCTAGGAAATTTTGTTCTTAGTCCCTCTTTTGCGGGCTTCGTTAATTGCTATTGAATCTTCATACGGTGGCTAGCTAGGTAACACGTCCGTGAAGCTTCTTGATCTCTCCGAATTATTTCCACCCCATTTGATGTGGAAATTTGATACATGATGG